TTTCAAAAATTTATAAAACAAAAACATTAATCAAGATTATTTTAAAAAGTATTTTTAAAATAGAGAAAGCCAGTGTGATCTTTATATTGTGTTTTTTAATTGAAATTGTTTATTTGAAAGTTAGAGAAATTCAATACAAATTTAAAATTTTAAAGGTATTAAGAAAAAATGATAAAATTTTGAGAAAATTAACTCATAATCTTTCAAAAAATCAAAATAAAGAAGAGAAATCGAACAGGTTAAAGTCAAGATTATTTTAAAAATATCAGAGGTTTTTAAAACAGAAAAAGAGTTTTCTAATTTTAATTGTTTATTTGCAAACTTGAAAAATTGAGTACGAAGTTAAACCATTAAATTAAAGTAATTAGTTGAAAAAAAAAATCAAAGTTGAATAGTGTAAAGAATTCACAAAACAAAAACATTAAAATCAAGATTATTTAAAAAAAAATAACACTTGAGAAAAAAATGTATTTCAAGAATAAAAAAAACCACTTACACAGCATTTGTGAACAGCTCGCTCCTATCCAGCATATTAAAAGTGAAGCACATCCCATCTTCCGTCAGCATTGGAGAAAAAAAATTACTGCAAGTCTCATTCAAACTCGTCCATTTACAACCGAAGAAGACTTCCTCAAACGGGGGTGCAATCTAGTTTCACAATCACAGAAAAAACCACTTCCAAATTAACACTTACACTCATTAAATATTCGATGGTTTCAAAACTGGTAGTTTTGTTCCCCTGTTGGTAGAGATGGTTATCACAGATGAGCGAACTTTCGGCGAACCTGTTCAATCTTTTCAGAGAAAAATCATTTTGTGAAAAAAACTAAATTTTTGGCAGACGTAAATTTTATTTAAATATTTAATCAAGATTTTATATTTTAACAAAATTTTTGTTTTAAATAAAAGCCTTATGATAAAATAATACGACAGTGAAAAAATTTTTGTCTTTAGACAATGTGAAATCTTAAAAAAATCACTCTTTTGAAATGATTGAAGTGTATTTATTTTTGTGTTAAATATAGAAGATTTTGCATAAAGCAAAGCTTGCAAAAAATAAAATTTTGAGGTAATTACATTCCGAATTTACTGACACAATCAAGTTTTTGAAAATTAGTGTTAAATT